GACACACCGAGCTTCAAGCTGTGGCCGGTGAACTCGACTTTGGTCTATGTACAGGGGCAGTCAGCAGCAGATCCAGCTCGATAAGACACCATGTTTATCGTCCAGAGGCCAAATCTTTACCTTTTTAACATCGATGCCCGAAGTACCCTCGAAAACCTATAGTAAGTCGCAAAACCATATGAGCACCCCGCATGACAAAAACCGAGCTTCATAGCCTCGCATTATCGGGTTGGTTCACACCTGTACAACTGCTCTGTTGCCTATTCATTCGTCCCACATATCAGCCGTCACGAGCGGGACATATGCATCGTGCTAAACGCCAGGAGTAAAGTCATACCTCTAGCTTCAAGGACCTGACCCGACCGCTCTGTCCCGTCGGGGAGAGTCAAAGAGACGATTTCATTGTAGCGGGGGAATTTGACCTTATAACAAACAATGTCAGCATGTCATTCCCTTCATGCTGCAGATAGGTTTGCGTCAACGCTGCGACCCCAGGCCAATTACGTACGTTATCAAGGAAGACCAGCGGACCGTTGATACCTCCGATGGTGTTGTAGCGGATGCGAGGCTTGATGTTGGTCATCCTCGGGTCGACGAATTCGGCCATGGCTGCAGGATCCTTGGCGGATGACCGTTAAGAGCTGAAGGAAGCTATAAGAGAGGGGATAAAAGGTCTGGAAGAGCTGCTCCTGACGAGGAGGCCAAGTAGTCGTCCGTAATCGATCCAAGAGGGATCCACGCCCGCAGCTCCAGCTTGGCGGTGACGCATGCACGTGATGATCCTCCGCCCCGTCAGGATGATCTCTTTCGACTGTTGATTAACTATGTAGGACAATGGAGTTGCTTGGATAGAAGGATTTACTTGTCATTAATTATTGAAATTTTCTCATTGAAAGGGCTCAGCCCGTGTACGATGGTATCCTCATACTCTGACAACATAAAAGTTTGGGACACAATAGAGTGTGATGCTCAAGACAACAAGGGAAAAAAGATTGCCAGCAAGAGCAGATGCAGATGGAAAAATCATCCTTGCCCCCCATGGTAGTAGATCATAATCATACACATCAAGGAAAAGAAATCAACATTATGGGAATATGACAAAAACGCCCGCCATGCATTATGGCACCATGAGGACACCACCGTAAAAAGTATCGTGGAAGCCATGAGACTTGTCGCACTCTAATCGACCTTGGCAAAAGCTAGCTTCTTTGGTGTCGCAAGATTGTTGGAAAGGCGAACATTTGTCTTCTTGTTCTTTGTCTGCTTTCGTAATTTCTTGCGTGCCACCATGACCGGGACAGATGAGTTCATGACCAAGTAGTTGGAGAACGATCCAAGGAGAACACTGCTCAAGCAACATTATATTAGCTTCCGATAGATGCAGACTCGTCCTCTCGAGCGACTCACCCTTTCAGAGCGCTTCGGCCCCTGGCTCCCACAATAACAAGCGTAGGCTCGAGACCGTCAATCTAGCGGCAGACTGGTCAGTATATCTGGGCAAGCGGGGTTCGTGGACTCATAAGCACCAGGACGAGTACGTACAGCTTCTGTGATCATATGTTTTGGGCTCTTGCAGTGAATCACCTCGACGGCAACTCGGACTTGCAAAAGGGTCTTTCTGAGCAAACGGACACAGGTCTGCGAAATAATCTCCACCGCACGGTTTCTCTCTCCTTGGGCTTTGGGCACACCCCGGGCATCGACAGAGCTTGGTTTGCTGTCCGTACCCTGTCCAAGACGACCCAACAAGGCACGAGGCAAGTTACTGGTGATCGACTCATTCTGTGACTTAAAGAAAGTTTCTTCCGTCTGGGAACCAACAATGGTTGCTGAGTCCTGCATTGCTTGGGCGCCCTCTCCGATCTGTACCGACGACGCGAAGGGAATGCTCAGCTCCTCGTTAACTGCACAGACAGCAAACATAGTGTCTCCGTCCCTGAGAATGGTACCGATTGTCCACTCCAGGGCGTAAACAGACTCTTCGCTGAGATCAGTGGCTACTAGATACTTGCGCTGCCGGCGACGTCCGCTCTCGCTCTCTTCCTGTAGTCGGGCGTAATCGCCTCGAATGATGGTTCTAATCGATCGGTTGGGGACTGAAGTGTCAATAGCGGACAGTTGCATGGTGAGTTTCTGCGCTCGCTTGATATCCGACAATTCCGCTTCGTCGTCGGATCCAAATGGCGTACTGAGGGCGGAGCCAGGATCAAAGCTTGTCCGAGGATGAACATCAAGCATATGCGGGCCCTGCTTTGCAGAGTGCACCAGAGTAGGCTTTTGATCGGAGAGAGACGTTGCTTTCAACTTCTCCTCCATCACTTGGTCGTCTGTGAAATGTCTGTCAGTATGCGGAAGCCATACGGATCTCAATGAAGCAATACATACGCTCATCCGTAGCACCATCTACCTGCCCTAGAGTGGCCGCTTGATCGCTTGCATCCGGAGCCTTCTTTCGGCCACGCTCGATCTCACCATCGCTGTCGTCATCACTGGACGACGACTCATCGGGTTCATCTTCGCTGCTATCCATTGGGTTGTTCTCGCTATCATACAAATCTTTGGCTAAGCGCTCATCACCAATGGATGATGTAGTGGTGTTAATGTCCGGTTCTGGAGATTCGCTCTCCTTAGGAGGCGAAGTCACACTGGTGCCAGTGCCGCCGACCGACTGCGGAAGGGCGGAATCCGAGTTATTGGCATGGGTGTTGTTCATGAGGGATGGTTTTTCCTTGAGCTTCGCCGGCTTGCTCGGCTTTGGGGATGAAAGGTTCAGCGGATTGGAACCGAGCCAGCGATTCTGGGAGCCGGACCGAGCACGTCGTTCGGGAACTCGAGAGTCGAGTGACGCCCCCCGGGACGAGCTCTGTCGCCCGGGCGTCCTTCCTCTGGCAAAACTTGGGAGGCTGACTTTCAAGTCAAATCCCGACATCATCGCAGCCATGGTGCTCTTGCTCTGCTTCTGATGGTTGGGTTCCCTCGGAGGCTTCTCCGGTAACTGAATTTGTATAGTACGCTTGTGTAACACCGGCATATCGTTATTGTCGAGTTTATTTCGGTCTACTATTTTTTTCTTTCCGATCGAGATTTGATCCGAATTGTCCGAAGCCCTGCGAGCTGCAGATGGTTCGGATTCACCGGGAAATCTCTTCAAAGAAGCGTACGATGTTGCAGTCTCAGGAGCACCAGAGCCCGACGGCGATGCAGATTCCGAAACAGGACCTGCCCAGCTGCGACGATTTTTAGAAGGAGAAGTCACACCAACCCCAATACCGGCGATGGATGCATGACGCGGAGGCAATATATCAGGAGATGGAGCAGTGTCAAGCTGGCTCCGCAATGGGGCCGCTTGGGCTGGGGGGCTTCGGTTAGACGACGGGCCGGATTCAAGACGCTCATCTTCGATCCATTCAAGACGTTCCGACTCGAGAGCACCCGCCAGAGATGACCTGGCTCGTCTTTTCGTCCTGTTGTATGCGCTACTATTGTATGCGGCCATTCTGTATGGTTCCGCCCGCGGCGGTTTGACAGCCCGAGGTTAGATAATTGAGAATATGCTTTGTTGTTTGCAAGACTTGTCCAGGCGGCGAGGAATGTGGAGAGAGATCAACGAGTCAACGATGATTCGTCAGTTTCGCCTTTCTGGCTAATGTATGCGTACTCGAGTTCCGCATTCAGGACCAGAAGCTCGCTGCCTTTTTAGTCCAGCTGTCTGAAGGCTGAGACCTTAACAGGCCAGCAAGTGTACTTGCTTGGCTGACAATACTCCTTTCCGGCAGAACCACAACCCGGAAGGGTGCTGTAGACAAGAGGCGCCTGTTTTCTCCGCCTCTTAGATTCGAGAATAGATAGGGGCAGCTAGAGGACTGCAGACACTCGCAAGAGAAATTTGCGAAAATGAGCTGCAGCTCGAAAGGGATAGATATCTTTGTCCGACACAAACGCGGTAGGAATCACCCACGGCCTTCTCCGCAAAACGCCAAGAGAGGGAGTCGAAAAGCGCCACAGACAACAACCGCACCGAGGCTTGGACAAGATCGAGATAGATTAAACACGAGCGATGTGGTTTATAAGATGGAAAAGATGAGAGGCTTACAGGGGTCGTGAATAATACAAAAAAGGGGTTGCCTAGAGAAATAGGGAGGATCACAAAAGGTTCTGCCCGCTGTCACACTCTGTCGGGCACAACGTCCAAAAGGCTCGGCATAGCGGGGCATCACATACAGAGAGAGCACATGAGGCTGAGGCAATTATTGCTCTGCCGTTCAGAAGAAGAGAGAAGAGAGGAGAGACAGGGTTCTCATCATCTTCATTCTACAGATATCCCTTGCATGATGTCACAAGGCTTGGTGATCATGGAGAAGACGACCCATTGCTTTGAAGTCTTTGGGAGCCTATTTGCCTGAGGGTAGCATTCCAAGCGGATAATAATCAATAGTCTCTTTCCGCCACAATATGCAGAGGGGATTTTCTACATCATAATGGCTTCAGAGTGAATCAATGCTATGTCCTTGAAACCATAGAAAGCATACAGTGAGCATAGATTTATCAGGCCTGTCTGTAAGAGGTATTTGTGTAGCCATTTGAGGGCGAGAGATTGCCACTAACAATGCGTCACATGCTGAATGCGGACCGAAAATGAAAATGATCAACCAAACATACAGGAGCGATCAAGGGGCGCCAGGTGAAAAGCAAATACCGGGGTATGCTAATATTGATGGCAATACTCCGTAGTGATCATGACAATGATGATCTGGCATTGTAACCTGCTACATATGTAATACCATGCTATTCTCAGATAGCAATTGAGCGTCATAGAAACACCGGGCTACCTACAGTTTGCTCAAAACATGATATGCAATGTGATGCGCAATCCTTCCATAAGATGCCCACCTTCTCCCAAGAGTTCATGTAGAGACCTGCCAAGTACCAAATACTCCCGACGCCGGGCGAAAAAGGACAAAAAAAAAGAAAATAAAAAGGGGAGATCCCAAGTGGACCGCTCACGCTTTCGACTTTTTCGTCTTCTTGGAAGCCTGACGAGCAGCGGTGGCAGCAAATGCTTCCTCGGGCGGCTCCTCGAAAAGAGTCTTCCGTTTCTTGCGCTTGCCGTCGCCTTCCTTGAGCGTCTGCGCCTCTGTCTGCCATTTTTCCATGAGCGATTCCATGCGATTGGCTTGTCGTTGCCTGATAGCTGCGGCGAGATCACCAAGATCAGAGACGTCCTTCGTCTTGGCCTTCTTCTTCGTCGTCGTCGGTGCCTTTTCCTTGACTTGCGTTTTCGGTTTCTTCTTCTCCTCCAGCTCCTTGGCCAACTCCTCGGCTTCCTTTGCTTCCTGCTGCGCCCGCTTGATTCTCGCCTGGCGCTTCTTTGCCGGCTCATCTGTGTACTTCTTGTAACCCTCCACCTTGCCTTCGGCAATAGCCTTGTCAATAACTGCGCGGAACCGCTCGTCGTCATCGAGCACATTGCTCAGCATCACCGACTCGTAGACACGGTCCATATCGCCTCTGTGGCTGTCGAATGCCTCCAGGATATCCTTCTCTTCTTCTGCAGAGCCCTGATACTCCTTCTTTATTTTGTCAATTGCATCCGTATCGACCGTGTTCGAGTACAGGTCTCTGTAAAATTCTGCCCAATCGAAATCTTCGTCGCCGACGGCCGCTTCTGCAGTGCTGCCGGTGCGATCGAACCGCCTGCGGCGTTTTTCGTCCGACAAGATCGCATAAGCGAAGGCAATCTGCTGAAACTTGGAATGTGCTTGATCTTTCTGGTCGGCAGGAGCCTTGTCTTTGTCGATTTAATCAGTAACACAATTCAATACTTACTGCTTGTGTTTGTGCGGAAATCTCAAGGGAATTACCTGGGTGATGCTTTAAGGCCAGCTTCCGGTAGGCAGACTTGATCTCGTCCTGAGTCGCATCCTCTTTGACACCGAGAACCTCGTAGAGGTCGGTTACAACTGGAGGGCCAGACGGTCCGTCATCTTCGTCGGAGGTGGTCCCTTCGTCATGATTCTCTTCGAACACATCCTCGGAATCAGAAGGCATGATTGCGGTGTTTACGGTAGCGGATGTAGGGAAAGGAGATGGAAAGAAAGACTGGCAAGGTATGGCCCAAATAGTGTTAGAGTCTCCAAAAGACCCCCAAAAATCCGATGAGAAAACAGATGAGAGGTGAGTCAAGCAGCTGGTTTGCTTTGATATGTGCGAGATGTTTGAGGGAACGCGACAGACGCGACGCAAAACCACTTTGATTACCTTATCGGGTTAGGCTGGGGATAGCTTTATCAACCTTCGTCATAGCTTCACTCTCTGGACAGCTCCTCCACAGAGCAGACACATTGTAATTCAACCATCACCAGTAGCTGTTCATTATTTCTGCTGGCCATTATACAATCGCCTACAATTCTACCTTCTTGTGAAACTTCACCTCACTAGCTCTCAAATCAAGTTTGCTTTTCTCACAGCCACCCCGCGAAATGACCGCATCCCCCCACCTCGACTACCTCCGCCAGTGCCTCTCCCTAGCAGAGAGGTCGCCTCCACGCCCAACCAACTTCCGCGTCGGCGCGATCCTCATCTCCCGCAAAGATGGCGACCTCGAATTCAAAGATGATTGCATCCTCTCGACAGGCTACACAATGGAGCTAGCCGGCAACACTCACGCCGAGCAATGCTGTCTCTCCAACTACGCAGCCGTCCACTCCGTCCCCGAGGACAAAGTCGCAGAGGTCCTCCCCTCCGAACCCGGCCGGAAACTAGTCATGTACGTGACGATGGAACCATGCGGGAAGCGACTGTCAGGGAATGTGCCGTGTGTGCAGCGGATCATCAGCACGCGCGAGGGAGGGCGGCCGGGGATCCAGAAGGTGTATTTCGGGGTTAAGGAGCCTGGGACGTTTGTTGGGGAGTCGGAGGGGTGTAAGATGATGACTGCGGCGGGGATTCAGTGGAGGGTTGTCAATGGGCTGGAGAAGGAGATTCTGACGGTGGCTACGGCAGGGCATGAGAATAAGGACGAGGAGATCAAGGCTGCGTTGGACCAGGTAGAGACTAACTTGGACGATGTCAGTGATGAGGAAAGACAGAGACAGGCGCAGATACCTCGAAATCCTAAAAAGCGTTGAGCCATTTTGACTGTATGGTTGCGACTTGATTAATACGATATACTTATTTGCGGAGCACAGCAAGTAAGTCATGGTATTGGTTTTGGCATGCATTTCATGGTCGCGATGGCACTTTCTTGACGGTGAGATACAATAAACAAGATTGCAAAGGTGTCTTCTTCAATGAACATCCTGAACGAGGCCTCACACAAGCTTGCGTACTATATCTTGATCTCTGGCGATACTGCTCTCTACATAGTTCCCACATCAATCGGCAATGCTGCGCAAACCGTCTCAAAACCTCCAATGGTATTCCAAAGAGTCTATCAATAGCTCGGAACAACACGACCATAATCGATCATCTGGCCCTGTCCTTCGTATCTCCATCTGCTGATATATGCCGGCGTGGACCCGGCGCCACCGTTCTTTGTGGCATACGCGCCAACAAGCGAGCCTATATCAGAATTGTCACTACTCAGCGATAACACTTGCTCGAGTATTTCTAGGCCACACTTACCAGTAAACCGTCCCGTATCACCACTGACAATCAGCGTGCTGGCCCGGCCGATGACCTTCTTCTGTGCAGGATGCCGAGCCGGAGCAGCCGCAAAGACATACTCGGTGTCACTCACGGCCTGGATCTCAAGCCGGATGGTCTCTCCCTGCCATTCCTTGCGGACAGGCACAGTGGCTCCCGGAAGAGGACCCACATAATTGCCACGGCCTTCAATGCGGAACCGGAAGGACAACGACAGTCCGTCGGTTGTCTGGAGAAGGACAATACCAAGATCGATATGCTGCTGCTGGGTAAGGAAAACAGTAACACCCGCCTCCTCGTCGGCAACCTTGGGGTCAAAATCCACGTCCACAGTGTACGTGAACAGGGTGTCGGTCTGTTTGCGCATGACGAGCGACAGACCATCATCCGGCTTGAAGTCTGCACTTCCGGTGAGGTTATAGAAGGAGGGTGTCAGCCGAAGAGTATTCGGGTGGCCGCGAGGGGAAATGGTAAAATCCTCTGTCTTAGGATACCGCCAATACTGGAAATGCGCCGGGATCTTCGATCCAGGCCTGAAATCGACCTTGTCGGGTTGCTTGATCCATCCGCCCTCCCCGCGAGGAAGTTGCTTGTTCGGTCGTGGAAACGGCCCCTGCATCTGGCCTCTCACAGGCTGGACGACAGGCCATTTGCCCTTCTCCCAAGCCGCAGGCGCGAGAACCGTCTCCCGACCCATGGGATAGTTCTTCCATTCAGGTCCTGACCGGGTACTCAACGCCACGGCCCACCAGTTGCCATTCCCATCCTGGAACAAGTCCGCATGGCCCACAGTCTGGAAGTACTGCGAGGTGCCCTTGTTCGACAAGAGCGGGTTGTGCGGGTATGGCTCCCAGGGCCCCGTCCGGTTCCTAGATCGCGCCATGGTCTCCGAATGGCCGAGCTCGGTGCCTCCCTCTGCGATAATGAGGTAGTAGTATCCGTCTCTCTTGTGCACGTGCGGGCCCTCAGGCCAGACGCCTCCGGTGCCGTTCCAGAGGTAGTCAACCGGGCCAATCGCCCCCGTCTTCAGATCTAGCGTGTACTGCTGAATCATCTGGTTGTCGGCAGACGTGACATAGACCGTCCCATCATCATCCCAGAAGATATCCGGGTCGATGCCATGTACCGCGAATTCCAGCGGATCGCTCCACGCGGCGTCATCGTACGGATCAGACGAGGTGAACAGCAAGCCCTTAGTCTGCGGACCCAGGTACGAAACGATCAAGTAGAATTTGCCATCGTGATAGCGCAGAGTGGGCGCATAGATACCCGACTGCTGGCCATCCGTGACGCGGAGATCGGGGATCTGGCTGGGCCGATTGAAGATATTGCTTGCCAGTTTCCAGTTCTGCAGATCTCGGCTTGCATAAAGAGGAAGACCTGGGAAGGCAATGAAAGTGGATGTGACGCAGAAGAAGGTGTCTTGTTCCGGTACGTAGGCACAGGTGGGATCGGAGTGCCAACCAGGGAAGAGAGGATTGGTATACGACTGATTACGAGTGGGATAGCCTAAGCTGGGAGCTGCCATTCCCAAGAGCAAACATGTAAAGATCTTTGAAAGCAAACCCATGACGAGGGATACTGAGTATCAGTGATGATCAAGCTCCATTGCCCTGCATCAATGACCTTCCTCTGCTTTTGGGCTCTATTTATATACTCCAAACATACAAATGCGGGGAAACTGAGCTATAATCGCTCGATTTCCACAACTGGCATCATGGCGAAGTTGATTGCACGGCAGGGTACATTTGTGATGCAGCATGCATTCCTTCAAGGTAGCAGATTCAGGCTAAATAGCCCATTCTATGGGTAAACACGTCCGGAATACTTCACGATTGCTGATCAAGAATTAGATCTGCACTCGGTAAATAGACATACCGAACGGGCCAGCGATGCTACATCGTAATGAATCTGAGAAAAACTGATTGGAGGACTTTTCTCATAACCAATAAATAAACCCGAAAATTCATCTTTCATTGATGACTATCTGCATAGAGTCATAGTTGTCTTTGTGGGGATGATGCGCCAAGGCAGTTGGCTCCGGCTAAAGAGCATCGAAATGAGCCCTCTCTAGTCGAAAAGAACTGGTATATGCTCCATTTGTCTTGAATCTATCATGAAGCGTACTAGGCAAAGGTATGGCGCAGTCACGGCTGGAAGGTAACTCCTTCCGGGAACTTCTGCAGCACTGACCCATTGGCGTTGGTAAATTCAAGAGTGATGGAATATAGCAGATGGCTTAAATTGTGCAAAGAACGAAATTGATTAATCGATGATCAGATAGCTCACAAAGTCTGAGACGAAGTACACTATTGATCATGACAAATTGGCCTTCATAAACTCCGAGATATCCTTGACGGCCGGATTGGCATATTTCTCGTTGTCATAAGAGTCCATATGGGCTGCATTCGGCACAACCACCTTCTTGGTGGCTCCTCCTATCTTCTTGTCCACGTTCTCCGTGTGCCAGAGAGAACCGGCCTTTTCACCCGCAATAAGGGGAGTGGGCCGCGTTAGGAACACATCCGCCAGGTGGAATGCGTCAAAGTCGAGGACCCGCGAGACACTTCGAACGAGCATCTTGTTCTCTGCATAGGGGTGCTGCGCACGCAGTGTAAGGTAGTAGTTGTGTGCTTCTCTGAGATCTGCGGGAGTCTTGTCGTCTGGTTGATGCGGCACATACGGCGCAGCAGCCATCTCAGCGCCCTACTTTTCAGCTGAAATTTGCTGCGCAGCCATCTTGAGGGACTCGACATGCTTAGAAGCAGATTCGTCCCCGTACCAACCTAGTCGTGCAGAATCGCCAATGTTGACCATACTGACTGTAGCGACTACTTTCAGACGCTAATCTGCTTTCGCAGCTGCAACGGCGTAGCCTCCGCCGGCACAAATGCTGAGGATACCGATCTTGGTGGTGTCAACATATTCTAGCTGCTCGAGGTAGTCGACGACACTCCAGACATCGCTGACTCTTGCCACTGGGTCCTCCAGGAAGTGAGGTTCGCCTCCACTCTCGCCTTGGTGAGAGGCATCGTAGGAGGCGGAGACGAACCCTCTGGAGCGCGCTTCTTTGCATAGAGACCGGCCGTCTGCTCTTTGACGCCATCACCGGGGTGGACTATCATAATTGCAGGAAACTTGGCGGTGGACGATGTTGTAGGCTTGTGCAGCAATCTTCCTCACCAGTTAATAGTAAGCTAATCACGTGCGAACAGTCCTGTAAGTCGACTCAGCTCTGTGTGAACTGCACCAATTTATGACTCCTATCATCCCAGCAATATAATAATAGATGTCATTCTCGCGCCGGATCATCTATCTTGTCAAAAGGTGCTCAGAGGATCATCGCAATCCTCACGATGAAGCCCGCCTCATATAGCCTTTTTTGGCGCGGTTTCAACACGACAGTGTCCCGTGGCGCAGTCTGCTATCAGTAGGATTATCTGAAGGTTGCGGGTTCGACCCCCGCCGGGAGTGACATATTGTTTGTTAGCTCCCGTGGCGCAATGGTAGCGCGTCAGACTTCTATGCTTGGGCCTGTCATCTCTCTTCTTTTTGCCTCTGTTCCAAATTTTATATGCTCTGTAAATCTCAGCAATATCATAACTATCACAATCCCTTAGGCCGGCAGCGTCCCTTGCACCTGACAATCGACAGTACCTTAATTCTCACGTGACCCTGACGCCCATCGGAAAATGCAGTGTTTCTGATGTTGCTATCTTTTTGACATCTCGCAACAATATCATCCGATATATTGCCTAGAAAGATGACCTTATGGCGACAGCTGAGAATGGCGATCTCACGTTTTACCCGGCATTCTGCTTCAGGGCATCCCCGACCCATTTCACCTGGGTGAAAATGGCAGCGGCGGATGTGCATCGTCTGAAGAGACGGCCGGGATTTGAAGGTATGCCAGCGTATTTGTCTAGATATTCCATTACTCGATGCTTTTCCCGGATGCTCCATCGTTGCTTCTGGTATTCTACTTCCTGTTCCTTTTTTGTCCTGCACTCAAAGTAGTCTATATCAGTATTTGCTACTACGGTACTACCCGGCTGTCACCATCACCAATGGCTTAGATACATACATACATACCAGCCAACCTATTCAATCATGGCGCAGACTAGACGGAAAGTAGCAACTCTAACGAATCTCAGGCCAAAATATCTTTTTCTACCTCAACCACCCCATCCGCTTCGTGTCCCTGGTCGGGATCATCGTCGCCAGAACAGACGTCTTCAAACGCACAATCCTCACACTAGACGACAGCAGCGGCGAGTCCATCGAAATCGCCGTCCTGAAAGCCGAGTCCTCAGACCCGGACTCTGCAGACCGGACTCCGCACCGACAGCCACAGCCACGGCCATATGAAAAAGCCGCACGCCATGTCGCAGCAACCAACAGAACTGACCTGGATATATCCCCCCTCGTCCCGGGGACCGTGGTGCAGGTGAAAGGCACGCTGACGGTGTTTCGAGCTGCGATGCAGCTACAGCTAGAGCGCTTCTTCCTGATCCGGGACACGACCGCCGAAATGCGGTTCGTGGACCAGCGCAGCCGGTACCTGGTTGAGGTGCTGGCTGTCCCGTGGGAATTGACGGGTGAGGAGGTCGAGCGGTTGCGGCTTGAGGCGGAGGCGGAGGAGGAGCAGGCAGAGGAGGAGCAGGAGCGAGCGCGTAGGAGGCTTAGGAAGCGCGCGGAGCGTGAGGAGAGGGACCAGCGTCGGCTTCAAAGGCTGTGGGAACGTGAGGAGCTGTTTAGGGAGAAGGAGGCGATTCTGTGCCAGGAAGCTGGGCAAAGGGCCATGCGCGCTATTCAGCGCAAGCGCGTCATGAATATAAACAGTGAAATGTGAAAGCTAGTATTACTATATAGAACCGGAGGTGTTTTGGACAGGGTACGTGTACGCTTATGAGGATTGACCATTTATGGGTTACTGCACGTCCAGATAAACAAAATTTCATCGAGTCTTTTGCAAGGCCACAAACACATTACACAGACACAAAATCCAATATCCAATGCATATCAGCAGATCGTTACACGTAAGTCATTATCTGGAAAGCATCAAATCCAAAAACAACACTACCATATCATATCAAACAAAGGTATCTTTGAGGATTGAAAACGCCGAGATAGTAATGAGCCTGTCTTTGAACAACGACAATCTGCCTCAAGTCCATCATTTGTAGGTATATGTCTTGTAATCGTACCCGCCACTGCTGCCTGTGACTGGGCCACCACCCTGACCGCCGAGCAAGCCACGGTAGTATTCTTCCTCGTTAGCCCAGCTGCTTCGGGAAGGAAGATGGTCATGATATTTGCTCTTTTCGCGCTCCTTTTCCCTCTCCCGAACTGACTCGTACAGTCTCTGGTCATCACTATCGCGGTACCGCCGACTATCCTCGATGATGTCTCCAGGAAGGGTGGATGACGCGGTGTAGTAATCACTGCCAGGGAGGCCAGAATACCGAGTTCCACCATTGTGCGAGCTGGACAGCAGGTCACTCTCTGAATGTCTGTAGTCTCCTCCCCCATGCCCGCCTCGAGAAGAGCTCCGTGTCCGGCCATGTGTACTTATTGGACGCTGAGCTCCGCTACTGCCTGCACGAGGGTACAGAGGGTCTTGGCCGTATGAGTCATATGCTTTGCGGGAGACAGGAGGGACCGATCCCTCTTTTGAGCGAGAACCAGTGGAGAAGGAGTCCTTGTGTCGGTGGGAAGAGCCACCTGCCTCTTCATATAACTTCCCTCCTCCCGGCTGGGCACTATATGGCTTCCTCTCACGCTCAATCGGCCGAGACGGGACCTCTTCCTCGTCGTCATCTATGATGGCTGAAGACGACTGGTGCTGCTGCTGACGGCCCCGTTCTGTCACCGAAGGAGCTGTCTCGGCGGCCGATGCAGTCGAGCTCGTAGACATCTTGTGGCGGTGCGCAGCAACCTTCTTGAGCTCCTCCTCGGTGACAGGCGGCAAGTCGACACCACAATGCTTCATGATGAATTTATCGACCTCGTCTCTGATGGTAAGATTCGGTGCCTCGGGGAATAGCCGGCGAGGAATCTCCTTTGGAAACCTTTCTCGTCTGTCATCTGGGTTGCTGATAGGCATGTTCAGGACTGCTTTCTGCAACCGTTCGTATTCTTTGTCGGGATGCGCTTGTATCATCAAGGTAGCCCAGCGTTCGAAACCTCGGGGCGTCAAGCCCGGGATGTCCGGCCGCTCGTTCAGTTTAGCCTGAACAAGGTGATGTTCGGCTTCCACTTCACGAAACAACCTCGAGATCGAAGACGTACGGTCATCGAAGATATCTACACATCCTTAGATTAGCTTTTAGTCGTAGACCGGACAAACAGTACACTTACCCTGCCACGGGTAGAGGTCTGAAGGTATTTTCGTATCCTCGTAGAACTTCTGCAGCTTCTCAGGAACGACCACGATAGTGTTACCTGGAGGGTAATCCTCGATCTAGCACACTGTCAGACGCGAAATCCATCCAACCAACGGCATCCATGCTTACCAGATGGACTGCTATGCCGCGCAAGAGCTGGCCTAGCCTCTTGGTTGGCTTGCCTTCCTCAAAGAGCTTGCCCCATATCTTCTCCAATGTTGTCATCTCAGTCACAGTTGTTTCCCTCGGCGGTGGTTTCGGGCGTGCTTCCATTTTCTGGCCTTGATCGCTTGTCTGGCTATACGGCGATCCCCTTCTCTCGACGGGAGGTACAGGGGAAGGTCGTGCACTAGGTTGAGCGCTGCTCGGAAATGTACCAGTTTGGGGGTACTGCTGGTAGTCCGGAGTGTCAGAGACGGCACCCGGTTGCGACGAAGATGGCTTTGGTGGTACAGGAGGGGCCGATTCATACTCGTTATAATTGTACTGGGGAGCAGAGCTGGAAGGCACCCACTGTGGCGGCGTCGGACCGGATGGTGGCTGCGGCGATGGTTGCTGAGCTTGAACGCTATCCAGACCAGTCGCTTTGAGCTGTTGAATCACGGTCGCAGTGATTTGGGACAGGACTTCTGGCGATAGATAGGTGGGAGTGTCAGCCTTATGGAAAGCCGAGCTGACAGCCTCATTGATAGTTCCAGTGGATGGCTGCTGATACCACGAGTATTGCTGAGAAGGTGACTCCGCATATTGGCCCTGAGTTGCCGACGGAGCCGGCGGAGGCACTTGGGGCTGCGGCATGCTCAACCGATCAGGGCCGTACTGAGAAGGATAGGGAGGAGGGTAGGTCGAAGAACGATGATCACTGGGCTTTGTTTGGCCTATATTGCCCGCCTGGTCGTACGGACTCGTGCTTCTCTGGAAGCCATCGTAAGCCATGCGGACTGTCGCAGTCACACAGACAAGTTAGCCACTCTCCACCCTCTGCAGGTGTCACAATTTTCACCAAGCCTCAGCCACTCTCTGAGATGAAGGAAAGCGGGAGATTTCTGTTGGTGATACCAGTAAGTGATGAAGCTCTCGATGTGTTATGCACTGCGTGGGACGAAGAGTCTGAGAAAGGTAAGGTAACTGCGCGGGCGTCAATGGGATGAGGGGCGCAGGACGGAGGGGCTCAGAAAGTGTGGAGCTTCGCTTTGAAACAGTAAGTGCGTCGTGTCGAGTCGCCAGCAAGATGCTATTATGAAGGCAGTTTCTGTAGATATCTGCCCGCGCACAATGGAAATTAAAAGAAAAAGAAGATCATCGATGGAGACATGCAGCGACGTTGACTTGCGAGGCTAATCTCAGCCTCCACTACGGGGCCATACGTCACCGCCCAAGCGGCGCTGCAGAAGAGGGGAAGGTCAGAGGAAACACATATTGATTAGTGAATATCAGCATTATGACTGTCGGTGTGCCATTAAATGCTTTTTTGATGAGGCTGCACTCTTCCCTCGCTTGTTGCTAATGAGTTTGCCATACTGTACAGAGCACTAGAGGTCCTTTGAAGAGACATTGGAATACGGACATCGTCAACAATGGTTGCTACATAGTATGACCATTCACGAGGGCCCGAATCGCTGTTGGCAGCTAATACAGAGCAGTCGACACAATTTTAACAATCCCAGACCGTGGACATCGCAAGCCAACTCTGGGTCTTGCGGGGAAACGGAGCAAGCCGTCTAGTACCATGGTTCAGCCTGCTGTGGCCATTGGGACCTTTGATCAAGAGTAACGAATGCGAAAGTCAACATTTTATTTCTCTTTTCTAACTTAGCTTATTGACTGACTCTCTGCCGTAAAAATCAAGAATCGATCAGAGGTAATCTTCCAATCCTGCCTCGTCGCCAGCCTCATCGTCAGAGGGGACGGTGGCACCAATAGGCTCCGGGACTCGCATTGTAGGCGCCTCGTGTTTCTCGAAACGTTTGCTCTTCTCGAATTCAGCAAATGGTCCATTGATAAGGGATGCACCCATTTTTGTAAGGGTCTTACCGGAACCTTGGCAAATTTTGAGTTGCCGGCCTTCTTAATAGGCTTGGTGACAGTAGCATTGGCGTCCACTCCCCAGGACGCCCAACCCCCGTGAACGGACGGTGAGGTACCAGAGGGAGATCCAGAGCGACGGTGGGCCACTCTGTTAGAATCGAAAGCTGTAAAAGGTCGTCCTCTACGCGCCGAGTTGTCGTTGTCCTTCCCGTTGTGATCTTCAATTAGCGACGCGCCGCCGATGCCCTCCTGCTCATCACTGCTGCCAACATGTTGGGCAGTGGGAGCCACCTTCAACGTGAGTCTTTGGGTCGATGCAATTAAGGAACGAGACTCGACTTGTCCCTGAAATTGTGTTAGTACCTCCATGTATGCATTTGTGGAGCATTTTGAGGATGGATCTGTGTGACTGACAGTTGTGTACGTATCGGGAGCAGTGGAAAGCTCACTCTCAGTCAAGAGTTTAGGCTCCTCGAGGACTGGTTCGGCGTCGGCGTGACTTTGCACGCAATTCATGCATCTCTGGGAAGAATCGGATGTCAGATAGATCCTTAGCCAGCAAGAGAGACTCGAAGCAGTAATCCTACCGCTGCGTCCCTGTCTTGTCTCTGAGCTTTGGCAAATTCATCAAGACTCTTGATCTTATCACAGATACAGCACTTGAGTTCAACAGTTTGATTTCCCGAGCAGATGCGGCATTTTGCGTTGTTCTTCGTCAAGGCGACATTAGCACCGTGACTCAGGATGACATGACGAAGGGCTTCGAGTTGCCTATTGGAGTAGTTACTCGACGAACGAATCTTGTTGCAGGTTCCACATTTGATCCTGATCTATGTCAGTGGAATGCCTGGATAAGGGACGAGCAAGCGACAGATAAGTGACTGACTTCTCTGGTATGTTGACGCTCTGGAGCCTGCAATTGTCCCCATCAGTTTCTCGTTGTTACCGGTAGGTAACAGTCTCTCATCAGCTTCTCAGTGGTATATGGAAGCGAAGATGGAGAATAGAACCTACCGTTTCTTGATCTCATCGCTGTAGCCTCCAGCATACGCACTTCGAAATGTTGGAGGCATCCTATCTTGAAGGTAGTTCAAAGAAGAAGGCAGGCGAGGCGATCGTAAAGTGTCGGTGGTTTGAAGAGAATAGATATCGAGGCAAGCAGTTCAAATGAAGAGACATCGAGTAGAGGCAGTTGGTGGTATAAATACTGCTCACCAACCTTCTGGACAGTTCCGTGCACTTCAGTCCAGGTTAATGAAGTGGTCTCTGGTGATTGGAACTCTAATGTAGTGAATAGAGGAGATGGTCATTCCAAGCTGTTGACTGAAAGATGATGCTAAAGGGTGACTAGAAGTTTAGAGAGATAATATTCACAGCAAAATGGAGAAAAACATGATGGTCTGCCTGCATCATAGTGTGTAAGAAGAGGATATGGAAAGAGAAGGTTCTATGTATTCTTTCTCTCGGTGGGCAGCAACCTTACTGCGCAGATAGAGGAGCACCTTTTTTTCATGATTGGATCCATAAGTTTGTATCTAGGACAATCAATCAACCTTGACTTCTGCCAGTTTCCTTCATGGCATAGATGCGTCAACAGTATAACATTGTTCCCTTGAATGTAAACATCCGCAAAGTGAGGCAAGCGCTAATGACGGAAGAGCAGACAAGCCAGGTGCAATCAAACAAAAGAATGGAACATCGACGAATATGACTGAGGTGAGGCAGAGTCATTCAGCCGGAGCAGACGCCAATTAATTTTGACAGCAAAGGCAACACACGTATTCAAAATGCTTAGGCTGAGTTCGTCAGAGCCTCTGATGTTAGGAACTGGATTCTAAGAATGAATATTAGCTACAAAAGCCCAAAAGAGGACGGAACGGAATATGACCTGCCTACGCCAGAATAATAGGGTGAAGGGCTCATGGGATAGTAGCTAAATTCCCTGGCCTGTTGCTGCGACATCCTTCAAACAACATCGCTGAGATCCTGGTTGGGCTTCTGGCCGTCCGGTCTACTAACCATTATTCGAAGGCCACGGAGGAGATCAGAATCTTCAGTTTGTGTCCTAGACGCGAAAACATGACTGAGCCAACGCATGAGACAGATTGAACGCAGTCAATGGTTCATATTGAATGTTGTTTGAAGATCAATCATAAATGCCTTCATGGCTATTTCCTCCAATCAACGCTTTACACAAATTCATAAGGTGGACAGCGTATTAGGTACCACTTGTGCATGGCTGGGAATACCTGAGGTACCAGTTACTCCAATAATAGCTGAGAGATGCATGCAAATACTTGTTATACGATGGGCCATGTAGGGTCTACCTGGGGACCAGGGAGATCCGAAATGCTGTGCAGTTGGGATCCATCCGTTTGGGATGACCACATCCAAACGTCGATGATTTGGCCTCTTGCTCGAAATGAGCGCGTCATATCCCGCTGGTCGCAGGAGCAACGAAAGATTGCACAGGAGATTCAAGATTCAAGGTTTTAGATTTCAGGGCAATCTTGGTAAGGATATGTCTAGCGTCATTCCAGAAGCATGTCTATTTAACGAGCCGTGTCTGGCAGGGGCTGGTCTGGTGATTCTCCGTGGTTGGTAGAGACCTGACAGTCTCGGTTACCTTAGTCTTCTCCAACGGTTTAATAATAATTGAGACTGCTAAGACGGGGACTCCCGCAATGCAGCGAGCTTCTGCGAGCTCTCTCTGGTCTTCCAGGCAAAGGAGTTGGGAAAAGGATCAGTAACTTCCCCTGGAATCCTGGATAAACCCCTGTCCTATCATCAAAATCCCTCATACATAATAATTTCTGTCTCCTTAATCTAAATCCTTCTGGAAGGTCATAGATGCACAACGGTTTCAACGCTTAGATCGTACTAAGTATCACTAAAGGCGATAGTGGTCTGAAGATTCTCCATAACATAGTTACAGGTAGAATATGATGACCTTGGCAAATAAGGAGTGTAGTACAGGAAATCAGTTGTTGCGCATCAGAGAGAGTCTCCAACTGTTTGACAACGCTGTGTCAGTGTGACTATATTTTTGAATTTCCTTTTTTCTTTTTCCACCTCAAGGACGGGTTGTAGATGAGGTGGTCCCACTACAGGATCCTCTTTTGCCCCTCATTCCCCCAGCGAACCTTTCACCGTTCACTGCACTAGTAGAACTACCGACCACTAAGCGACTAGAACAGTGGCCAGTCTCTCGGATAGCTGGGACGGGCCTACACGAAGTGGGGATCCGTGTTCCCCGAGTGACCCGGCGCAATCAGGAGACCCACGAAGATTCGAAATCCGCAGGCAAAATCCACTCTCCTCCTCCCGGCTGGACGGAACCATCAATCCTGGCCAATGAGACTAGCTAGGTCAGGCAGTTTTTATTATCGAGCTAAGAGCCACTAAGAGCTGGTCTTTCACTAGCTGGTCTGTTGCCAACTTGCCACCCACCGAGGTCTAGTCCGGCTTTTTCTGGTCACACACACTTCCTTATGCTCGGGTGCCCAAACGCCAAAAAGTCTGCCGCGTTTCCCTGTTTGTAACGTTATGGAGTAAACACCCCCTAGTCAACACACAGTACTCCGTAGATACTCCGGAGAGTCGACCTTTTCGGAGGGTTCTTTCAGTCATTATTCTCTCCGATTTCCGCTCATTGTTTTTGCGCTTGTCCTAGGTATTGACTATCCCTACATGAGCAACAGTGCAAGGCCTGATAAAGTGACAAGTCAACAAAGCAATCGTATCCGATGCCAGGGAGAGCTCAAGGCGGAAGAAAATGGATATCATAGGTTGAATTACAATGTGATCTGTTGTTCTCCCTAGGCTCCTAGCCTAAGCACATTGCCAAGGCAGTTGCATCTAGTTCGCGGAGTATTCCATAAGGAGTACACAGAACTCCATCTGAACCC